CCCGTCGCTGTCTGTCGCCCCGCAGAGCCAACGGCCACATAACGTCAACGCCCACGTTGGCAACGTTACTCCCGTAAGCACCTCCTTGTTCTCTCGCGCGCGTCCCCGTCGTCGTCACGCTGCGGACAGCACCGCCGACGTCCGCGCACGCAGGCGGCCGCGGCCGCGTAGCAGCTGAGCTATACGTGCTAGCCCTGTCCTCAGGTGCCACCAGAGTCGACCGTCCAGCGTCCGCCGGACGCGGGCAGACGCCCCCGTGACCGCGCAGCGCATGCTCGCCCGGCAGGTGATATCGAATCTGCGGTCGAGCGCCGCGGCCCATAGTATACTCGCAAGGGCGCGCGCGCACACTGTCAGCGCCATAGTGCGTCCTGAAAGCCGGAACACCACCGGTGACCAGCAACGGCTGGGTTGCGGCTCAGCGTGGTGGGTGCGGGCGTCGCGCGAGTGTGACGTTCGAATTCGTCCTGCGCCGATTGGCAATCGTCGAGGATGCTGCTTCAAGCTGACACCGTCGCCGCTGACACACCGCGGTGCTGGCAGTGGGCTGGTTCTGCCGAAGAAGCCATCACAGTTGCCACCGGAGGCGGAGGCTGCCACGCAAGGTTTGGACGCTGCCCCTTTCTGGACGCGGTGCGCGCCTCGATCGGGCTTCCGAGTTTGAAGTTGCGTGCCACCCTCGTGACATGTATTCGTCGTGGTCGTGTGCTGATGCGACCTTTGAGCCAATTGTGGACAGCCGGAGCCTGATCGGTATGCATCTGCACCCGCCAGATCAGCTGCGAGGGGAGACTGAGATGGGTGGGCGTGCGCCACGTTTGCCGCTCGATTGTGTACGGTATCGCGGGGGAAGGGACGGAATAACGCGCACGGAGGAACGTTCCCTCAGCCATCATCCACTCGCACGTGACATCGCCAGCCGACGGTTCTCGTCATGCCCCCGTCAAAGCCCTCACGCGTGCCCGCTGATGTGCCCAGCATGGTGCGCGGGCCGTCTCCGGCGCGGCAGACGGGGGCCCTGCGCGACACTGGGCATCTCGAACGTCAACGCGGGCGTCTGGCGCTGTGGGTTCTGGAT